GGTTGAGAGATTGCTATTTTTCCAAGCAAATTAATTACCTTCAATGTCAAATCTTCACTTGTAGGTGAGTCACATAATCTTTGTGTATTTTACAAGGATTTAAGGTATACTTATATGTTAATTGGTAGGTTTATCATAAGCCAATTCTAGCTAGGGAAGTAAAATATAAGGTCGAATTTAAATAAAAATTTTAATATAAAAATATTTAATTATAAAAATCTAAAAAAACTTTTTTAAAATAAAAAATATACGTATTATAACATTTATTTAGAAACAACGTACTTAACATAAATTAGTATTATCGTTTAGAAATTGATGACTATTTATTGCAGCAGACATGGAAAGCGACTCGACCCTAACAAGCATTGTTCACCTTATATTGTCAATCAAGTTGCCTAAATTGACAAAGAAATATATCCTAATAATTTCCTGTTTTTCTCATATTCTTAATTTTGTGTCCATTTCTTAATATTATTATTTTGTGGGGGATTTTAAAAGTGGTTTGTCTCTTCCTATAATCATTTAAAATAAAATAATTTTAACGTGTAATATGATATAATTTGCGATTGTATTTTTACAAATATAAATTCTATTTATAAATGTGAAGCGTGTTTAAAGAGTTCTTTCTACTTTCTATTATTTAAAAATAAGGATGTGCTTTCTTTACATGAATAATAATAGAACATGATTATCTCTAAATCGTAAAATATATTTTTTTTCTAAAAAATTGGAGTTCTTTCTACTTCAAGGAATTTTGTTTATCTTAAGAATTACATAAATTATAACAAATTTATTTTTAAAAATAATGATTCTTTCACAATGCGATCATACTTTATCTAATTTCCATTACTTTATTTTCTGATCAGTGTTAACCATTTATTTTGTAAAGTAATGTTATATTTCCAACCTTTTATGCTTGTACAACATGAAATCAAGCGAGGCCCTAATTCATATTGATATTTTATTAACTCTAAAATTGAAGGTAAATAGGAATTAGCTAGAGGCTCATGTAGTCATGTGTTCTCAGTCTTATAACATATGCATAAGGGACTGATGGGGAAATTTATGTTATGGGATACTAATTTTATAAGTTATATTAAAAATTTTAAGAGATACAAAATTATAAAATTTTAGGAATTGTGGAACTAGACATTTAATAAAAAAATACAAAGAAAAAACCTAAAATATAGTACCTCTAGCCATGAAAAATTCAGTCCCATATACATACTATATATTAATATTATATATATATATATAATTAACGATTTAAGTTTTTTATGCAACATCTTATTTGATTTAAATGATTACATTGACAAAAATCATAAAGTTGGAAGATAAAATTATCCAAAAGTCCATATTTTATGAAAATATAATATCACTTAATAAACAAGAAAGGATGAAATTATCTTATATTTCTAAACAGTAATAATTATCGATAATCTTACACCTCCATCATCAGATAATATAATTAGACTAAACAATTTTTTCTCTCGAAATTTTCTATTACCTAAACTATAGAAAATCCATGCAAGCTATCATCTCATCTTACCTTCTTCTTTTCTTAAAAAATTATAAAGATGAAAGCACAATAAACTTTCTCCTTATATGTACAACTAACACAAGTTGGGGTTTGGAAATCCAACTGTACATAGGGTCCACGACTTCCCCTTGTGATAGAGAATCCTAGACCTTCCACATGGTACAATAATATGTTACCCGTTTTGGCTTCATCATTTATAAATCACTCTTTCTATATCAAACTTTATCTTTCCAGGAATTAATCGATTTCAGTAGTAAAAAAATTGTTGTTATTCTTCAAGGTATTGAGTTCAAGCATCATGAAAGCTAAGAGTATGAAAGTTCAATGTTCAATGTTAAATGGTTGATAGTTATCTTTAAACATATATTACCTTATACTTACCCCAGACTAATAAAAAAATTTATGCTCCCTTACAATTTTACTTCATAATGTGATTATAAAATTATTATCAATAAGTGAACATATCAAATAATCTCAATGGTAAAAGAAAAAAAATTATTTTTACTATAGATTTTAAGTTCAAATAGTTATGTCTGTAGGGTGCATACATTGTCAATAAATTAAGAAATTTTAAAAAAAAATCTTTTCAGTAAATTATACACATAGTTGATAGATTTAGGGGAAAAAACCCTCATATCTTTATAATAGTTATCATATTTCTCCTTTCTTCTATTTTCATCTTCTTCTCCCACATCCAAACTCAATTTACGAAAAAACATAATGATCGATAAATCAGATTTTGGAAGATTTTCGCCACCACCAATCATCACCTACCGTCAACGGAGACCAATCTAAAACTCTTATATATTGCATTAATAAATTCAGGGATGGTATTTTTTTTAATATATTTTTAATACTAATCTAATTTTGTAATTTTACATCCCTAAATTTCTAGCATAAGTTCTTAAGTTTGTACCCCTAGTAGAAAGTACTATCTTGTCCCTAGATAAATTCTTCTTGAGTCCCTTTATTTTAGGGTAAAGTACACAAATGGTCCCCCCAACTAGGGTGTTGCTTTATTGAGTCCTTCAACTATTAAAAGTTACAAAAAATTCCCCCAACTATAGAGCATTGCTTCGCTGAGTCCCCTGACTATTAAAATTTATAAAATGATCACTCGACTATTCATATGTTCCAAACTCATCATTTTTCGTTAAAAATTGACGACAATTTGAGTTAGACATTAATATGTTGACTGAGATAAGATACTTATTTGAGATTTTGGGATCAAATTTTATCACATCACAATCATGAAGTTAACGTCTAACTCAAACTACGGTAAATTTTTTAACAGAAAATGACGAGTTTGAAACATATAAATAGTCATGTGACCATTTTGTAACTTTTAATATTCGGGGGACTCAACAAAGCAATGATCTATATCAAGGGACCATTTCATAACTTTTAATAGTCAAGAGACTCAATAAAAGTAACACTATATAGTCAGAGGACCATTTGTGTACTTTACCCTAATTTTTTAATATTTTTCTCTTGAGAACCATTAATGAAGCCTATATCTATTTTTTTCTTTTTAAGAAAAAAGTTCAAATCATACTTTTCTCTATGTCAAAATCACTAACAAATCAAATAAAATGAAATATAGATTTCGCAAATCGAACTCTACAAACATCACTAAAACCAAGATTAGTAAAAAAAATAGTGATAAATTAACAAGTGAATCGCTAATGACAGTATTTAAAAGATTCTAGGCACCATTTGGAACATCACAACAATAGAGAGATAAACAAAGATGGGTATAATAGCATAGTTTAAAATCGGGCCAACTTAACATTGGCTGTAAAAGATCGAAAAGTTGAGAAAGTTAATCTTTAAGATTTGATCCATGACTTTTGAAGTATTTTTTTAGAGAATTCGGTTTTAGATTCATGATCATAAAATTTAAAAGAATTGATTTGAAAAAGTTAAGACTTGAATCATCATCGGACCACGATGGCCGACACCGGTGGAAGACATGATAGTCCAACGCCGATTTTTAAAATGTTTGCATTCAAGTGTTTGAAGGAAGAAATTGAACGAAGAAAGATATAAAAGTAAAAGAAAAAGGGAAATGTAAAAAAAAGGATTTTTTTATTATCGTTGTTATATTAAGCTTATTTTGTAATTAATATTAAATTATCTTTTAGTTATGAAAAATATCACGTTTCTTGTTTCTATTGGTTCACAGTTTTCTAACGTTTTGGGTAACTAACTTAACCTTTGTGGTGATTTGAGTAACAGAAAATTAAAAAAAAAAAACTTTAGGTATTCATTTGGAAAAGTGAGTATAATTCAAGGGGGGGGGAAATGATCAATAAAGCCAAGGGGAAATAGCATTAAATGTTAGGGCTAAAGATTATTACCATTTATTCTCAAATACAAGGTGTACAATTCATATTCATAAAGAGCTTGAAATATTTGATGCATTATGTGCATGAGTGTCATGCACAATCAATGAATCATAATTTGTTATCTCATTATGAATAAAATAAAATAAAAATATTAGAGGACTTCTAAACAAATATCCATAAATTTTATGTAAACATGCTTAAAATTATAACATCAATTCCTTTAAATCTAATTTAACCTTTCCATGGAACTATAACATGATATGGATTTATCTAATTATCTCAGTGCTTAAAGGGGGAGTTTTCTTATTAGATATCTCAGATTCGAGTGGTTGCGTTTAAGAGATGTGTATAAGTTCTCAATAGTTAAAAAAAACCTAAAAAATCACCGAAACCCAAATTTAAGATATAAATGAAAAAAGAATTATAGTCGTGATGTGATACAAATCGATTGATAAATTATTCATGAAACAAGGCCGCAATATATACGGACAAAACTACTCCTCGAAGTTGAATACTTTATGGATAATAACATTTCCTTCTACACACGGTCTTGGAGACCATTCAAAGGACGCTGAAAGACAAAGTGTAAAAGGTAAAATATCAAAGTTAGTAATAATGAAATTGGTAGTGGAAGTGCGACTTAAAGGCAGGTTTGAAGGGTTAAATCACATGTATATAGTTGAAGAAAGAAGGAATGGGATAAGGGAAAAGTTTCTCCCCCATCGTCCGCTGAGGATGTAGCAGAAGGTCAGGGTCACATTTCATTATAATAGCAACAAAGCATAATCTGGGCAGTATTGCTAATACTTCCAAAATTTATTTTTTCTTTTTCCATCAAACCCTAATCTCTTTAACTCGCCAATACCAAGTAATTCATTCTGTAACTAAACCCATAATAAAAAAAATATCACCCTTTATCATCCCTTCCACGTCCCAGCATTTGCTGCCCACTTGTGTACAAATTACCCACTTTTTTCCTTTCTATTTTCACCATATTAGCTTGGCGTTTTCTCTACCCTCTTTGGATCCTCCCTCTCTCTCTCTCTTTGTTTCTCCTTTCCTGGTTCTCTCTCCGAATAAATTTTTTTCTATATATAAAGAAACATTTAGCTTACTGTTGTTATACATAGCCCGGGTTTAAAGAGGTGTAGGTTTCCTTTTGCAACTAACAGAGATAACTATTTGGTTTCTTCTAGGGTTGAGGTTGAGGAGAGTTTGCTCTAAGCTTTGATTTCTTCTTCTTCTTCTGTTTTCACTTGAAGACATGTCGAGCTGCATCGATGTTGTGCCTGAGCAACTTTGCTATATCCCTTGCAACTTTTGCAACATAGTTCTTGCGGTATCTGATCTCATACGTTTCTTCTTTTTAATGGATGGGATCCGCTTTTTATTTCCTTTTCTTTTCTCTTAATGTTGCAGCTTATGTTTTTGTTTACTTTTTGGTTTTTTGCTTGGAATTTTCTCCATGTATATCTTACAAGGAAAAGAACATTATGGATGCTGATAAAAGCTGGCCTTGACTCCTGTGATCACTGATCAGATCCTTTTTTTATAACTGAAATCGATTTGATTTTCTTACCAGTCAGGTTTAGACTTTTCTTTTTCTTCTTTTACAGATCCTTTCTTTTTTCTTTTTGTTAATGTTTTTTTTTGGTGTGGGAAATTTAAGGGTATTTTTTCACAAATCCTATGCTTCTTCCTTGACCAATATTCGACTGACCTAGTTTCTTTCTCGTTTTTCTTTACCCTACTTGAAGCTAATATATCAATAACATAAAGAAAACCCAGATTTTTAGAATATTAGCTGATCTGTGATTTTCTTTCATTTTTGGTTACGATTACAACTGATTTTTAATTTGCAAAACTTTTTAAAAAGAAGTGGGTAATTATTGGATTGATGTGCAGGTGAGCGTTCCATGCAGCAGCCTGTTCGATATTGTGACAGTCCGATGCGGGCACTGCACCAATCTATGGTCTGTTAACATGGCAGCCGCCGCATCTCAGTCACTGTCATGGCAAGATATTCAGGTGATAAGATCCTCGGCGAAATAGAATTAAATTTATACTTTTTCGAAACCTAGGGCTAATCGGGGTTGCAGTAAAAAAATATTATGAAACAGTTGCAGTTTACTGGAAAACCTAGCAACCACCATGTTCGAAACCTAGTTTGCTTTTTTGCAGAACTGGAGTTTTACAGCCGCTTTTCATTTGTTTTCTAATGTCTGGTTTGGGTAGCTTGATTTGATTGACATGTAAGTTAGGGTACTTAGGTTTTTAATGACATGTTTCCAAGAACTTTGTCTTCAACAATGGAAACAATCTGAAGAGGGCAAAACCGAGGGGGTTGTGAGAGAGATCCATTGGTTTCTTAGGGGGCCTTGTTTCAAGAGTTTCGAGCTTATGTCCGGTCTGATATCTAACATTAAATGATGCAACAATTCTAACTGATTCAGTCACTTCGATGCCTGGTTCTTTCCTTTTCTCTTTCTCTCTCAAACCATCACTTCAATGTCTAAGGATGAATCGAGGGACAGTTTTTAATATAACTTTTTAGTTTACACAGCTGAAATAAAATCATGATGTATTAAACTTAATTTTTTTTACAGGCACCAAATTATGCAATACAGGATCACAGGACAGATCTGGGTTCGTCGTCGAAATGCTGCAACATGTTCTCGATGCGACCTCTTCCTGCCGCTAACAGTGCAACCGAGGAAAGGGTGGTGAACCGACGTACGTTAATAAAAAACACTTCTCTTCGAGGGCTTTTCCATTTGTAGTTTTCTTTTCATAATGTGTATGGATTTTTCCATTTTTGTTGTTTTGTTTTTTCAGCTCCCGAGAAGAGGCAGCGAGTGCCTTCTGCATACAACCAGTTCATCAAGTAGGTTTAAACTTTAACGTTGCAATACACACCATTGATTTATATATAATAGTATGAAATGCAATTAATAATGTTTTAATGTAGAGAGGAGATTCAAAGGATCAAGGCCAACAATCCAGACATCAGTCACAGGGAAGCTTTCAGTACTGCTGCTAAGAATGTAAGTATGAATTTGCAATTACTTTAGATTAGAATTCTCTGACTTTTATGAATTTCATCCATATTTGTTATAAACTTTTGGATTTAGTCATTTGAAAATAAATGTAAAATATCACTTCTTTTAAATAATAATTTATGAATATTATTACAGTAACACTTTTGTCTTTTCATAATTTATAGTATTTTTAAAAAAACATTTAAAAACCTTTTCAACCCATACATAAAGGTTTATTTATAAAGTATATTTAACTTTCATTTATTATCCTATATAAGGTTTATTTTACGATTTATAATTTTTATCAAGATATAATTATATAATAATAAATTATTTGTGAATTAAAAGATTCTAAATCCTATACGTTAATTTTTTAAATATAATCTATTTTAAATTATATCTATTTTTAGACATCATTTAAATGTATATTTTTAATTTATAACATCATGTTTAAAATGACCCTTTATGAAATAAAAAAATATGTTTATAGCAATACCAAACACTTAACTCTTAAACTAAATAATCCAAAAATAATTTTTTAGAAGTATTTTATTATTATATCTTTTAAAAGTAATGTTAGACTAACCCTAAAAATACTATTACGCCCGCAATCGTTATTAAATAAAAGTTTAAAATTTATATTTTTTTTAACATAAAATATTTTCTTATCCATAATCTATCATCAAATTTTTTTTGTTATGTTGACTAATATTGTTTTTGTTAATTGGTATATGTAGTGGGCACATTTCCCTCATACCCACTTTGGACTGATGCTGGAAACGAACAACCAGACTAAGGTGAATAATGTAAGTAGTTATTTTGATTTCGTACAACTCATTTTCTCTTTAGGAAAAGTTCGAGGTTCGAATCTTCAACTAAACATTTATAAGTTTTTAGACATTTTTGTATAATGTTTTGGATTTTTGATTTTTTTTAAAAAAAATATGTATATTTAATACTTTAAAAACAGTGTAAATTATGCTTAAATTTTAAGCAGGCTTAAGAAGCATGTGATGGCAAGAAGGGCGGTGCGAAACAAGTGATTGCGCTTGAGATTGAAGCAAAGGTTACGATTTGAGGGTTTGAAGTGTTGATCCAAGCGTGTGTTAGAATATGTAATATTTACTTGAACTCAGCTACTCCTCCACTTTCCAACCAAACATATTTACAATCAAAATAAATTTCACTCTCTACTTGCTTCCTTACTCTATTAAGATATTCAAAATATGTGAGATACCTACTATTCAAATCCTCTTGTAATGAGTAATTAATCGTAAAATAGAAAATAAATACATAAGTTTACGTATATTTATTTTTTGTTGAAAAAGGATTACAATTAGAAGAAAAAATTAATACCCTACTCTAAACTTTTTGACTTTGTCCATTGTCGAAGCAGAGCGATATAGATAGCGTTCAACTCAGAAGAGTGTGAAAAGTAGTCTCCTGCTCACCATTTTGCTCCTTTCCTCATCTGCTTAATGTCCAATACAAAGTAATTGACCGAAACGTTTGGTTCTGCAATTGTGTATATAACTAGAATCACCAAGTTTCCCTTTTTTTTTAATCAAGGAATGGGAATAGAGAGAAGTGCATGTAATGGAAGAGGATGGAATGTTATGGGGATCGGCAATTGAAATGTAATAAAAGACTACAAGCTGGCAAAATAAAAGAAATAATGAATCGTTGGGATTAAAAACAAAAAACAAAGAAAAAGAGGCTCTGACATAAGAATCTGAAATGTCAAAATCATGTGCGGTGAATGAATGGCATTCATTTCCATTTCATTGTCATTTCAGCACTCAGAAAAGTCTGTGACCACCTCCTTCTTCTTTCTTTCTACACACCACACCACACCACTTCCATGGCAGCCCACTCTCCCCTTTCGACATGTCTGAACAATCAATTGTGGTTCCCATAATTTTTATTAGGGTAAACTATGCATTTAGTACCTAAACTACTAGTTTTGATTTGTTTTAGCACTTAAACTTTTAATTTTTTCAAAACCTAAAATTTAGCTTTTGTTTTATTTTAATATCCCGCTATTATGTTTTGAAAAAATGAAACCCTAGGTACAAAAATAGGTTTAGTACCTAAATCACACATAAGTTTTTTTAAAAATTGAAAATTTAGGTACTAAAACATATCAAAATTGATAGATTAGGTATTAAATACGTTAATTTTTTAACGACGGGGTAATAAAATGAAACAAAAAGTAAACTTTAGGTATGATTTTGAAAAAAATTTAAAGTTTAGGTACTAAAGCGAACCAAAACTAATAGTTTAGGTATTAAATGCGTAATTTATCCTTTTTATTAACACTTTGTATTTTGTTGGGTCGAGTAAAAAATCAAAGAAAATATTTTTTAAATAAAATTTTAAGTTTTAATTGTTTAAATAAATATTAAATAATAATATTTTTCATTATGTCTTGATTCATCTTCTTCTACAAACATAGGATTTTTAGATCACTTAAAATTGATACATTATTTCTATATCCACTAAATTAAAAAGGGGTTTATCTCAATTGGATTGTTTAATTAATTCTTTTTTTCATAAGAAAAATGATAGATGATTTTATTTGTTCTTGTACTAAATTTTTTTTTTCTTAGAGTATAATTAACGATGTCTCATCAAATAACATTTATTTTGTTATCATGATAATTTGTCATTTCTTTAAATCTTTAGACTATGTATTAATAGACATTTATAATCATCAAGTATATGTTGCGATTAAATTATGCAAATATCAATTTATCATTATCATAGATAGGTTAAGATTGAGTTGTAGTAATGTTAGTTTATTAATAAATCATCATTGTTATACATTATGTTAACGTTAATGACAACGATATCAATGTTAATGTTAATTATAAATAAGATATAACGTGATCATTAAATATGCGATGCATTAGAGTATACGTTATTTGTTGGGAACATGTGATTCCCGTGGCGTCGACATAAATTATGGAAATGTGTGAACACCAAGTGTGCCACGTCCATCCTCTCCTTGTCTTGGAAAGCAGATATGAAGATCCAAAACCCAAAAATGGGAACAACACAGTCCTCTAGAAAGTGTGAGTAAATCACATTTCACCGGTAAAGACCCAAGTACAAAATTTGTCGCAAAGCTTTTCTTGGCTTTACTGGAGGATATGCTTCTGTAATTTAACTAAGATAAAATCCCAGTTAGTTTTAAAACAACCTTAACCTCATGAACTAACCAACCAATCATAATACAGTTTGAAGTATAACCAAAGGAGCACTATGTTCTAACACTATATCCAACCAAGTTTCAGCTTTAGACAACTCTTTGCCTGATGAAATCTGGAGTCCAACTTGCTACAGTAGGAAAATAAGAATATGGATATCTGTGTCAATGGCAATGTGGTGTTTTTTCCGATAGAACTGAAAGATATTCTTGATGACCCATCAGATCCAAAGTTGAAGGTAATATCTGAAGCATCGATGTGGTTTGGGGCACTGCTTGTCGAAGGGAAAGAAAAAACAACGGCAGAGGAAGATCTGTTCAATCCAAATGTATATGTAGGTCCTGTAAGCTCCTCTTTGGGTTGATGCTGACTGCTACCCAATATTGATGGTACGATGGTTGGTGTTGGCGGCTCAGAAGACACACCCAAAGATGCAGAAAAAGGGAAAGTGAAACTGGTGCTATTATCCGAAGTAAACGTCCACCTTTGCTCAGGCTTGGTGACAGAAATAGAAGCCAAAACGGGTTTATTTCCTGAAGAATTTGATGAAGGCTTTTGTAGATCCTCGGATGCGGCAGCCTCAAACACTTGAACACCAGTGAACTTTGGAAGATCCTGTCCAATAAATTGATGAGTATGCCATTCTTTGATGTAATAAAAGTTTAAGCAACTAATAGACCAAAGCAAATTGACAAATGATACAGAGGGAGTGATTAATTCTCCTGCATCATATAATGATTATGCAGATTTGTTACCCCGACAAATTTCAAAGTTGATTAACTAGAAAAGTTATGTATCTTTTACTTTCAAACAAAATGCTAGAAATTGGATGTCAATATATGTACAAGAAGGCAGTTAATAAAAGATATATATTATTTCCTATATAGAAGCCTTCAATAAATATCAGGGGGAAATTGTTAAATTTCCTCTCAGCAAAATATAGTTTATGCTTACTAGGGAAGTACTTAGCAGAATGATAAGCAATAAGGCATGAGAATAATACATTAGTAGGGAATGCATAAGACCTAATAAGATCATTCATGGTCACAGAATAATAATAATAGGATGAATAAAATACCTTGTGTGCGGTCTTCATTTGTGAATCCTGAGTTTTTCCACTATCTATTGTCGACCCTGCATTACTGCCTAACACTGTAACAGTCCGATCAACTTTTAAATCTGAAGTAGAATTTGTTTTCTTCACGTTACTCTCTGGAGAAGCCATAAAAACTGACTTTTCATTCCAGGGAGCAGGGCTTCTACTGTTGATTTTATCCTTGCTTTTAGAATAATCAAGTCCTAAATTTGGCATACTGTTGTGCCCCGTTAAAACAGAAGCATTAGCATCCGAAGACTGAGCTATTTTCCATGAAGTAGCTATCTTTAACTCCTCTGACTTCTCCTTCGGAGTCGCTAGAGTTCGGTCAAGGTGATCCAATATTGTCCTAACCATCTGGCTGGAATGAGGATGAACAGGTGGCATACCCATTTCAGAGATTCTATTTTTATCTACCGGCTGGAAAACTGAAGAGCTCCTAGTGCCTCCTTGTTCCATATTCCTCTTGATAGAAGGAGATAGACCTTTGGAAATATTGGAATTTACTACTGGAAAAGAACCATTCAATGATGAATGAGAATAAACAGATCCTCTGGATGGAGTTTCTGCAGTGTCCTTATGCCGAACCCTGTGAATGGGTCCCACAGATCCATGACCATTATCCATTATATTGCTCCTCAACTTCACTCAAATGTTCAATCAACAAACAAACGACTCAAGTCAAATAGATGTACAGATAAGAATTCAAATTATCAAAAGCAAGTTGCAAATAGCATTAGTTGCTACACCATGATAAATATTACTTTATTCAGCTTTCAGATCTGTCCAGCTTTGAATTAAACACACACACACACACACACAGATAGGGCTATGTTCAAGTCAAGAGCACATTTTTAGCCTAAGGCTTTGCTTGGTAGGAAAGATATAGTGGAATGAAGAAAGGAAACTTTAATCTAATAATTAGGTTTCGTAACCACTTTCAAACATGTAGCTTAACTGTTTGATTAAACACTTTTCTGACATTGCCCATTTATATCTTTCCTAGCAAGCATGCACCAAGCAAAGCCTAAGGAATGAAGAAAGGAAACTTTAATCTAATAATTAGGTTTCGTAACCACTTTCAAACATGTAGCTTAACTGTTGGATTAAACACTTTTCTGACATTGCCCATTTATATCTTTCCTAGCAAGCATGCACCAAGCAAAGCGTAAGGATATACTTGATAGTGTAGAAAAGTGGAAAGAAAATAAATTCTAAGTGTGCTACGTAGGAAAGAGAATTGAAAGGAAAGAAAATAGGAAATATGATTATTTTCCACCCTCATGCATAAAATCAAATATTCCAAATTGGTAAAATAAGATGGAGGAAATGAGGAAGAGGAGAATAAAGTGCACATATTTACATAATTATCCCTCATTTAAAATGTCTCTTTTTTTTCTCAATGTACAAAAGGTATATCAGAAAAATAATGTACTATCTTTTAATGTGTAGGTATACATTAGCAGCATACTAGAAGGATGATCAGTAGAACCCTCAAATCAAAACCACTAATCATGAAAAATTACCTGGCCATATGCAGGAGTTTGTGATCGCTGCAGGGGAGAGAATGAACCACTCAGGAAACCGTCACTCTTGTCTCGTACAAGAGCCAGCTGATTAAACAAATAACAAGAAAAAGAAAAGCTCTAACAATCATCAAATGTAAATCATTATGGAAGAAAAAAACAAAATTTTAAAATTCCACACCTTGGATTTAGTTTTGGAATAGATTGTTCTGGAGTAAGGGGTTCTTGGAATATTATGAAGCCCGAATCTGCTTCTTTGACTTTGAGGAGTTAAGTAACCACGTTGATCCTGCACCGTGGAACCTGGCCAACCTGTGAATGGCTTTGGGGAAGCAAATGGACAAATGGTTCTGATGCAAAATCATCGGCCAGCATTGTTTGTCTTTCTTCTTTCGATATGATACTTTTTGAACCTAGGTTTACTTCTGATGTTCGGTTTGCCATGTATGCTTTTGCAATTTCAATTGGTGAAGGCGCAGTTTCGTTTGGGAGCTGCAATATTTCATAGAATTTTAGATAGACGGGGAAAATAAAATATATCAGAGAGACAAGCACATTAAATTTCATTGCATTGCAACTAACCGAACAGGTACATTGATATATGATGGGCATGAAAAATAACACATTTGTGCAAGCACACACGTGTATCAGAGAGAGAAATAAGACGAGATTTTTTAAAATATATAAGCTTCTATCCATGGGAGGAAAAATTTCCACCCTTTGATACAGGCAGCTCTCACAAGGTTCATCGTAACCAACCTTCCTCTTCCCAACCAAGAGCTGGAGTAACCATTAAATTTACTTCCAAGAACCTAACCAGGCACACCCCAGGCACAATAACTCTTATAATGTTTGAGGCGCAAAGTGCAAAAATACAACACTAGATTGAAGTAAGGCACAACATGTATAGTTTGTTTTGTAAGTATTTATGTGTATAATGAAAAAGATAGGGCTAAAATATAAAATTCAGGTAATAAACTCCAAAGCTGTCCAGTTTCTCTGACAAAACATGCAATTTTTTTCTTTATCATTTATTGCCCAATATGCATGATTTTCTTAGATTTTCTTGTTCTTTTGTTTCCCAATATGAATGATTTCTTTGTAGTCCATGTTTGTTAAACACTCAAAACTGAGTACAGAGTTTGAATACTGATATTCACTCACAGTTGGCTTAGGAAGTGGGGTTGCCAAATCCCTGACAGCTTTATTCAGATCATCCTTTTTTTCTTCGGATGGCCTTCTCATGTTTGTAGTAACTATAGGTCCCTTGGGTCTTCCAGTAGACAGGATTAAATCCTTACTTTCTTGATTAACTTTAGGTACATCAACAGAATTTGAATTTATAATCCCAATCAGACGATTGATTTCATCCCTGGATATATATATAAATGTTAAAACACATTAGATAGTTAACTCTTTGCACCAACTAAATGATCACCTGAAAGATAGAGACAAGCATGGATGTAAGAATATGAATGAATCATTAATATCAAAACCGATAGTTAACTCTTTGCACCAACTAAATGATCACCTGAAAGATAGAGACAAGCATGGATGTAAGAATATGAATGAATCATTAATATCAAAACCAAGCTCATTTGTATTGGCTGGGAGTTGGGATATGGCTATAATTGACGCTCTGACAAATATACCAGCAATGCTTGGCAGAAATAAGGAAGTTTACAATTTATGAACACATAGCACGTATAAGTGACAACAACAAAAACAAGCCACCTCGAAAATGTTTTCCCCTTCACTAGCTTCTCAATTTCTGAAATCCCATCACCATTAGTGTCACCTTGGTTGTCTTTTCTATTTTCAGCACAGTCACAACAGCCTTTGGTCCATCAGTTGGTCTACTAGTACCAGCGGTTTGGGCTTCAACAAACTAGAAATGGAATGCAAAAATACTTACTCAAGCCAGGCCATCAAGAAAACCTCAAAATTAACAAATTTTCAATTAAATAGAGCAAGTAAAATATGATTTGCCAAAATTTAAACAGAAAATAGGAACACTTACAGTTGAAATTTTTGGTCTTCTTCATTAGCATATTCTTCTATATCCCCATCTAACTGAACTGTTTCAACAGAAATACCAAACTTCAACGACAAATGACAACAATTCAACATTTAATAACAAATATACGGATAGAAAGGAAATCATTAAAAATTCTCCTACTCCTTTCACCTAAAATAATAAGTACCTCTAAAACCCTAAGGAACCCAAATTAATCCCTAAGAATAGAGAAGTTTCAACAGAGATGTGGTTTCTCAAAATAAAAATAACTAACCATGAGCTTGAGGTTCTGGCGGCGGGAGAGATTCGGTGCTGAAGGATTTGAAGAAAGAGGGTAAGATCCTAGTGGCCCCGCCGGCTATGAGACGGCAAGCGGGATCAACAAGTTTGGAGAGTAAGCGGCCGCGTAGGGATTGATTCTGCTGAGGGCGGGCGTAGGGTGTTACCGGTGGTCGACGCGGCGGTTGCCTCCTTAGTTTCCCGCCGGCGCCGCGCTCGGTTGCTGCCCGTTTTTGCATTGAGTAGGACGGCGTCGTTTCGGTGGTTTTTTCCATTCGAGTTGTCGTCTCCTCTCTCTCTCTCTCTCTCTCTCTCTCTGTGCCTCTCCCACGTGCAATCACGTACCAACTCACAGAGTCACTGTGTTTATGCTTACTACGAAGCGTGCTTCTTTTATTTTCTTTTGGTTCCTCTCTAACAAATTTTTTTTTAAAGAAAATAAAGTATTTTTGATTTTACATGGGAAATATTTGCGGAAGTTTTAATATACGGTTAAGATAAATATTCTGATGCTATTTACAATCAATTGAGACATGCAACGAAAAAAAATTAAAAACTAACTTTTTAATTATATTGAATGAATAAAAATTATTTAAATTTAAAATTTAACAAAACTCTACAAAATTTTAATTAATCAATTAAATCAAAAATAATTTATTTAATTTCAGTTCGATCAAAGATGCTGATTAAACAAATGAGGTCAATCAATTATTGGTTCTTATATAAATAACTACATTAAATAAAGTACATAAAGATATATTTCTAAGCTAAGTTCAATATAATATTCTTTAAATCCATATATATACATATTATTTATAATACAAAACCAGTTAAAATTTAATAAATTAGATTAATTCGAATAAAATTAATACCAAACATTATAATTTATATAAATCAAATTGATTTTAAATCGAAATAGAAATAATATCAATAATTATAATGCATAAACATATAAATTAATAATGAACATATATATAATTTAATTTTTTAAAAAAAATCATGTTTTAAAATATAAATTAATACAAATTAAAGGTGTATGCTTCTTAGACCTTAAATTAGAAATAGAACAATGAAATTCGGCAACCTTATTGGTTCTCGAAGTTCAGCCTATGTCTCGGACATCTTATTTCCAAGCCTCTGTAATCTGTTGTTTGGACCCAAAAAAGAAGGCCTGCGAGTAAAATCTTCACCTTCAAGAAAGGTCTAATTATGCTCTAGGCCTCAAACATTTGAAATTTAACTTTTCATTTTGATAAGAGAAAAGAAAAGATTTTCTAAAATTAAACTCTAAATCTATTCTCAATCATAACTAGGGTAAAGTAGATAAATAGTCCCCCAATTATCGGATAATGTTTTATTGAGCCCCTGTTATTAAAAGTTACAAAATAGTCCATCAACTATAAGGTGTTATTTTGTTAAGTCCCTCAACTATTAAAAGTTATAAAATGGTCACCAAACTATTCATATGAACCAAACTCATCCTTTCCCGTTAAAAGATTGATGGTTGTCTGAATTGGATGTTAACATGTTAATTGGGATATGATAAAATCATATTTTGAGAATGTATACTAGCACCATTGTGCTTTTAAGCACTAACTCGACAATATAATCTTTCAAGCACCGCTTGATGATATAATGTAAATAGAGATTCGATCCATGAAATATAGCTCAAACAGTTCTGAGATTAGATTTTATCATATCCCAATCAACATGTTAATGTTCAACTGAGACAATCACCAATTTTTTAACGAAAAATGACGAGTTTGGAATATATGTTTAGTCAAGTGACTATTTTGTAATTTTTAATTGCTTAAGGACTAAACAAAACAATACCCTATAAGTGAAATACCATTTTATAACTTTTAATAATTGGATAACTCAACAAAATAGAACTCTTAGTCAGGGACAATTTATATTCTTTACCCTTATAACTAATGTGATGTTTGTTATATTCGATAAATTTTGGTCTATTATTATTGTGTTTCATGTAAAAAATAAATATTCAAAATAAAAATAAAAATTTGTTAAATATTTAATTAAATAGAGACTGAACTAAATATAGATAATCTCATATTCTCAATTTTTTTTGGTCTAATAACATTTTAGGTCATTCTAAGTTAAATATTAGACAAATAGGTATTGTTTTCTGATTTTTAAGTTTAAATACCTAATAAATCATTATATTTTTAAAAAAGTTTCAATATTTTAACCCATGTAAATTTTAATCATAGCTAAGTCCCTGGTTATATACTTATATAATAATAATGATATAACCGCCACACTATCCTTACCATCCTATAATTTAAGGGGCAATATAAGAAAGGGAACATTATTGTACTTATACTATCATAGTGGAAGTGAATTGTAAAAAAAAAATATTAATATTATTATTTTTCTTTCTTTGTTGGTTACGAATACAAGCCCGGAGCCACATGAAAGAAAGGGAAGTGAGGTGGCACTCTATTTTCTTTAATTTTTACTATAAATTTTATATAAAATAAAATGACTCCAACAAAATATTATCTTTACTTTGAAAAAGTATTATATATTAATTTTTTATATTCTAACATTACAATCTAAAATTGTTAACTCCCTCAATGATTACGAGCCTAATTCTTTCATGGATGTGTGTAGGTGAAATTCTTAATTGCAAAGTACTTATTACTCGGGGACTTTTCCACTAAATACACCAAAAATTCGATGGATTCTGTCCTTACTTGACTTTATTGGGTAGAGCTTTCTTAAAAAAATAGGTTCAGGTCGGGTTGAATATTTTACATTATGAATTCGAGTTCGGGTCGAGTTTAAATTTAGAGTGAAAAATAAACGACTTAAAAAATAATGTAATTATATCTCATATAATATCCTTTTATATATTATCTTTTTTCAATTAGATCTTTATTTTATCAAATGCAATTAAAAATTATATATATATGTTCGACGGGTCGGATCGAATTGAGTGCAAGTTTTATTCAAAAGAAGGTCGAGTTTTTAAATTGGGTAAAGTCATCTTAAACCCAAATTTCGAATCAAGTAAAATCACCATAAACTCAAATTAAATCAA